CTCTGTATACAATAGCTACATCAAGCACACTACAACATGATTGGCAGAACCCCCCAGTAAATGTCAACAATAAAAAAATAACAATACATAGTCCTGATATTAATATTACAAAAGGATCATAACTCTCAAAATCAGCCTCTCTCCTAAATAAGTCCCATACAGGCAGAGATATAGGTAGAGTAGACTTGACATTATTTCTCTAAAAAAGACAGTTGACAAAAAAGTCCAGATGTAAAGAAAAAAAAGAGAGAACTCAAAAGGAGCCAATTATACACACTGCTCAAAAAAAAATTAAAGGAACACTTTTTAAAATTTAAACCAAACTATACAATCAAGTCAATTAAACTCCTGGGATATTGATCTGGTCAGTTATGTAGCAGAGGGGGTTGTTAATCAGTTTCAGCTGCTTTGGTGTTAATGAAATTAACAACATGGGCACTAGATGGGCCACTGACATTTGTTTCCCTACTCATCTTTTTTTGACTGTTTTTCACTAGTTTTGCATTTGGATAGGGTCAGTGTCACTACTGGTAGCATGAGGAGATACCTAGACCCTACAGAGGTTGCACAGGCAGTCCAACTCCTTCGGAATGGCACATCAATACGTGCCATTGCCAGGAGGTTTGCTGTGTCTCCCAGCACAGTCTCAAGAGCATGGAAGAGATTCCAGGAGACAGGAAGTTACTCTGGGAGAGCTGTACAGGGCCCTACATAATTACCTTCAGCAGGCCACTATTGTGAATGTCTCTGACCAAACAATCAGAAACAGACTTAATGAGGGTGACCTGAGAGCCTGACATCCTCTAGTGGGCCCTGTGCTTACTGCCTGGCACCATAGAGCTCGACTGGCATTTGCCATTGAACACCAGAATTGGCAGGTCTCCACTTGCGCCCTGTGCTTTTCACAGATGAGAGCAGGTTCACCCTGAGCACATGTGACAAATGTAAAAAGGGTCTAGAGAAGCTGTGGAGAACATTATGCTGCCTGTAACATTATTCAGCATGACCATTTTGGTGGTGGGTCAGTGATGGTCTGGGGAGGCATATCACAGACCTCTACAGGCTAGACAATGGCACCCTGTCTGCCATTAGGTATCGGGATGAAATCTTTGGACCCATTGTCAGACCCTACACTGGTGCAGTGGGTCCTTGGTTCCTCCTGGTGCACGACAATGCCCGGTCTCATGTGGCGAGAGTATGCAGGCAGTTCCTGGGGAATTAAGGAATAGATACAATTGAATGGCCCCCATGCTCGCCTGACCTAAATACAATAAAACACCTCTGGGATATAATTTTTCGGTCCATCTGACACCGCCAGGTTGCACCTCAGACTGTCCAGGAGCTTAGTGATGTCCTGGTTCAGATCTGGGAGGAAATACCCCAGGACACCATCCATGGTCTCATTAGAAGCATGCCCTGATGTTATCAGGCATGCATACAAGCACGTGGGGGCCATACAAACTACCATTTTGAGTTGCTGCAATGAAATTTCAGCAAAATGGACTAGCCTGCTGCATAATTTTTTTACATTGATTTTTGGAGTTTCTCTTCAAATTCAGTCCTCTTTAGGTTGATAATTTTCATTTCCATCAAACAATGGGGCATCCTTACACTTCTAACACATTACCCACTCCATATCAGTATAGATATCCAGCATGATATTTTTTTGCCATTGAGATCTGAGGTGTTTTCAAAGTGTCCCTTTAATTTTTTTGAGCAGTGTATAATCCTAAGGAAAGGCAATCACATATCTTCATGTACAAGTATCAGAAGGAAAGGTTTCTCAGATCATGCCATCCAAGGATGTTACAGCAAAGAAATATCCCTTCTATGATCCAGAGTATTTACTGTATATGGTAACTGAGGGGTGCTAAATTGGTGTTAACCTGGTGCACCTGATTGTAAATATGGAAGATATGTGGGGTGCTGGCAAATTATGCAGAGACCTATGGGGTAGGAAAAAACAAAGAGGGGGGACATCCACCATGCATGTGCAGGAAAGTAGACATCCCATCTGGTGAGGATACACTGGTGCCATAGCTAGAGAGGGCAGGTGCCAGGGACACTGGCCAGTGTCACATACAGTATACATAAACTGTTTTCCCTATTAAAGAAATGATATTGCTCTGAAGTTAGTTCTGTTACCCTGGCATCCCTACAAGACAGCTTAGTCAAATGCTCAACCTTGAGCAGCAGCAACACCAGTAAATCAAATACACATTGTACCGAACACAGCCTTAACATATTGATTGCACAATGAAAAGCAGAAGCACTTAAAAGGGTATTCCTATGCTCTCTTCTCTTGACTGCATTTCATCTTTCAGAACATTCGCATTGAAGTCATACATTATTGGCTCCCAGGATTGTGTTAGGCATGCAGGATTACTTTTACATTACTGATAAGAATGACTAGAAGCTCTGAAGGCAATATACAGTATTTGCTTACAGATGAAACTGAGGGAAAGCAAAGCTGCGACTAGCAATTCCACAGACACCAAGATCCCAATTGCTTCTACTGTTCATCAGATCTCAGCTCTTCTAGACACTTTTAGACTGGAAAACTCTGCTTAGGGTTTTTGGTATATAATTTGCAGCTACAACCTTTTCATTTCTAATGAAACTAGTACTAGAGTCATTTTTTTTAACCACTTGCCCTCCTGAGGATTTACCCCCCTTCCTGACCAGGCCATTTTTTTTCGTGTTACTTTACCTGACAATTGCGTGGTCATGCAATGCTGCACCCAAATGAAATTTACTTCCTTTTTCCCCCCCACAAATAGAGTTTTCTTTCGGTGGTATTTTATCCCCTGTGCATTTTTTATTTTTTTGCACTATGAACAAAAAAAAGAATTTTGAGAAAAAAACAATATTTTTGACTTTTTACTTTTAAACATGTCCAGTAAAAAAATTTAAAAATCAAATTTCATCATAAATTGAGGCCAAAATGTATTCTGCTGCATTTCTTTGCTAAAAAAAATCCCAATACGTGTAAATTAATTATTTTATGTGAAAGTTATAGCTTTAGTTTTTTGGGGTTTTTTTACTAGTAATGCTGGCGATCAGCGACTTATAGCGGGACTGCAGGACTGCAGTGGGCATTCTGACACTGGGGGGAACTGACTTGGTTTCACTGACATCCCCAGTGACACCAATACAGTGATCAGTGCTGGAAAAAAAGCACTGACACTGTACTAATGGCACTGGACAGGAAGGGGTTAACATATGGGATGATCAAAGGGTTAATGATGTGCTGTTTTACTACATGGGCTGTGTGTGTTTCACTGCAAGCACACTGCTTTGTATGGCTCTGCTATGCAGAGCCATAAATATCAGTGTGCAGGAGCTTACAGGTGAGAGATCTGTGTTATTTATACACAGGTCTATCCCCCGTCGGAGATATTCGGCGATCACCGTGACCCGGTGATTGACAGCTGAGGCTGCGAAGGGCGGCACAGGTATAATACTTGATTTTGCGCACCCCTGCCACCCTGCAGCAGTATTTCTGCTATAGGGCGGAAGCAGGGGCGGACTGACAACTCACGGGGCCCCCGGGCAATAGGGGATCATGGGGCCCCTGTGCCCTTGCCCAAAATCAAAAAAGCCTACGAAAAAGGTACCAGGGGCATCTCATAGGGCCCTCAACTGACCCCGGGCCCTCAGGCAGTGCCCAAGTTTCCAAATGGTCAGTCCGCCCTGGGCGGAAGGGAAGTAGAACTGGTAGTCAGCTGAATGAACATGCAGAGTATAACTGTTACTTGCAGTTTACTAAACAGGTACAAAATTAGAACCAATAATGCAAAACAGGTTTGGGATGTCAAAACACATGCATACACTGCAGAATAATGAAGAACAGGTTCAAGATGGCAAATAACAGGCCTATCCTGCATTGTCCAATTATGAAAACTTACCAAACAGTGACTCTTCACAGCAAAGTCTCTGTGACTCAGTCAGGGCAACATGTGGCTGTATAGCATAGCCTGTATAAGAGTCTATAAGAACAAGGAGTCACGCTGAGAATCATTACTTCATAAAAACTGCTCAAAAAACATGTGATTATCCTCATAAACAGTGTATCTTCAGGGTAAGTCTGGTAACACAGGTAACAGCTGAAGGAACTGAGGCCCAAAGACAAAGGACCACCCCACTTTAAATGGAGCACTCTTGTAGCAATCATAGAGGGGTTCCCTGACAGTACCTGGTTCTTCCGAAATAGCTACCCATTATTAGACTCATGCCTAACTACTTGTCTGAAGATCACTTGTCCAACTAACTTTGCCTCTTCAGGTGAGGCTTCTCTTAGTTCCTGAGGGATTTATATTTTTCCAACTACTACCTATGCACACATAGTAGTTGGAAAGGGAGTTCAAGGAGCCTTCAACTACATCTGAGCAGGGTGAGTAAACGGCATTCTGCTACACTACTACAGGCTAATAAAATGCTAATACAGCATATATAGTTACATGACTCTGCATTTACTAAAACAAGCATGATTCCCACTATGACATTTGTTAATGTAAGGCCTACATTGGGAATAGACGGGCAAAATGAAAACATTTGTTTTGTCTCGTTTCATTTAGATTCATTATTTAACTAATTTCATTTTGTTAGTTAAATTCATTTAATTCGTTTTTCAGAAATTGTTTCATTTATTCAAATTCGACCCAATTTGAAATTTTGAATGGATTCGAAAATCATTTTAACCACTAGCCTACAGGGCACTTATACCTCCTTCCTGCCCAGGTCAATTTCCTGCTTTCAGCGCTGTCACACTTTGAATGACAATTGTGCGGTCATGCACAATATGAATTTGAATATGAATTTTTTATAATTTTTTTGTGACAGATAGAGCTTTATTTTGGTGGTATTTAATCACCTCTGGGTTTTTTATTTTTTCTTAAACAAACCAAAAACCACTGAAAATTTTTTAAAAAATGTTTTTTCTTAGTTTTTGTTATAAAATTTTGTAAATAAGTGATTTTTCACCTTCACTGATGTGCGCTAATGAGACTGTAGTGATGGGCACTGATAGACTGCACTGATGGACACTGATAGGGGCACTGATGGGCACTGGAGGAGGCACTGGTAGATGGCACTGATGGGCATTGACAGGCATCACTGATAGGCACTGAAAGGCAGCACTCATATATGGAACTGATAGGTGGCACTGAAATGCAGCACTGACTGGCACTGATAGACGGCACTGATAGGCAGCACTGATGGGCACTGATAGATGGCACTGATGCACACTGATAGGCAGCACTGACTGGCATTGATAGGCGGCACTGATGCACACTGATAGGCGGCACTGACTGGCACTGATATGTGGACCTCATTGGCAGCACTGATAGGTGGCACTAACTGGCATTGATAGGTGGCACTAACTGGCATTGATAGGTGGCACTAACTGGTACTGATGGGTGACACTGAAAGGCAGTTCAGATGGGCACTGATATGTGGCATTGATGTGCACTGGTAGGCACTGAAATGTGGCACTGATGTGGAACTGATGGGCACTGGCAGGCGACATGGATGTGCACTGACAGCTGGAACTGATGGACACTGACAGGTGGTACTGCTGGGGCTACACAGATCATCAGGGCACACTGATCATCAGTGTACATGTCCCCTCCGAGGAATGCCGATTACCAACTCTCTTCTCCTCACGAGCTGTCAGCGTGACAGCTTAAGGGGAGAGAAATGTAGATAACCAACATTTCCCTGTTTACATGTGATCAGCTGTTATTGAACACAGCTGATCACATGACCGAGCCGACATCTTCGGCTCTTTCCATTGATCAGTGATCCACTGTGTCCGAGGGACACAGCAAACCCGCCGATCGCCGCGCTGCACGCTCCCTGAGCCACGCATGCGCGGTTAGAATGGGAGGACGTCATATGACGTACTCCCAGAACAAGAGAACCGCCTTGCGCCCGTCATTGTACTATATGGCGGGCGAGAGGAGGTTAAAGGATTTGAAAATCATTCTAATGGATTCAAAAGTAATTCTAACGGATTTGATAATAATTCTAATGTTACAATCCATAATCCACAATCCATATGTGTTTTTGATGGTATATGGGCTATATGAAGAGTTGCGTGACCATATTGGAAAAATCTATTTCAGCTAAATTTTCACAGTGTCACCATAGCGCAGCTCACAATTTTTTGTTAAGTATTTTAGCCTTTTCGAATCTATTCTATTCTTTTCTATCCTATTCTAATGTATTCTGTTCAAATTCATTCTATTTCAAATTCAAATTTCAGAAGGCAGTTATATTCTTTGTATTTTATTCTACTCTATATGTTTTTCAGTACTATTCTATTCTATTTTTGATTCTCTATTGTAATCTCTATTGTAATCTTTTCTATTCTATTCTTTGATTTTCTATTCTATTCTAATCTTTTCTATTCTATGCTATTCTAGTCTAATTGGTTCCATTCTATTAATTTATTTTATGTTCTATTTTGCTCTGTTTTACTCTATTATTTTCCATTCTATTCTTTGATTTTCTGTTCTAATCTAATTGATTCTATTATTTTCTATTCTATTCTTTGATTTTCTATTCTAATCTTTTGTATTCTATTATTTGATTTTCTATTCTAATCTTTTTCTATTCTATTCTAATGGATTCTATTCTTTTCTATTCCTTTATTTTCTATCTTATTTTGTTCTATTATTTTCTACTGTATTCTGTTCTATTATTTTATTTTTTATTCTGTTCTTTTTTCCTCTTTCTTTTCTATTCTATTCTTTTATTTTCTATTTCTTTATTTTCTGTTCTATTTTATTCTATTCCTGTTTTCAAGTTCAAATTGGTTTTCGAATTGTTTTCAAATTTGAATTTGTTTTCGAATGTGTTTTTGAATTCAAATCGATTTGAATTTTGGCCTAATTTCAGTCCATTATTTCAGATTCGTTTAACTTTGTTACTATTGTAATTTGGAATTCGGATATATCCGAATTGCCAAATAATGGAAAATGCATCCAAATTTTGATTCGGAACGAAATGAACCTCCCATGTCTAATCGGGAATGAGGTCATGTCATGAGTAAGAAGTACAGGAATCTAGGTGATGATAACAATAGCTGTGCCTGCAGTTTATTTTTAGATAGACAGTTTTATAGAATAACAAATGGTTATAAACATCAGGTATATTATAATAACCACAAATGCATGCTTGTGGCATAAAAGCTTCTCAATTTCACATTAGCCACTTTCAGTTTGTGATATGAGATGAAAATTAGTTTTACTAATGTTTATCATTTTTTAAAAATACAGTACTTGCAAACTGAGTATTCAATATATCTAGTTCTGAAGTACAAACATAATGCAAAGAAATATAGAACATACAAAATTACACATAGCTTTTTATCCGCACAGTTGTTAGGGAATACATTTGGGTACTTACATATTCATTGTAAAGTTATGTTGTAAATGCAAGTATACATTGTTTGGTTAGTAATCAGCCCTACCTGTTTTGTGACAACATGCCACTAGGCAGCTCTATCTATCTATCTCTATCTATCTATCTATCTATCTATCTATCTATCTATCTATCTATCTATCTCTAGTTAGCTAGCTATCTAGCTATATATCTACCTATCTAAGGCCCAGCGCTAAGTGACTTTGAATTTTACTGTGCACTTGGTGACCCTTCTTAAATTACACTACCCATGCTATTTGTAGTTTTTTTTATATTTAGTCCATGAATGTGGAATGCCTTCAGCTACTTTTTTGAAAGTTTGTAATTTTTATACATTTAACCAGTAAAATGTTTTGGACAATTCACTGTTAGTGCTACATTAGAATCAGACTGTATGATACAGAAATGCCTTGATATGAAATGCAGTTCACAGAAATGTTTTTGAGATGGACTTTTATTTTCAAGCTACAATTTAGATAGTTTTCAATGTTTGGGATTCATTTTTGCTTTGTATTTTGTACTGCTGCTGGATATACTTTTGAAAGGATGCAGAAGGGGTTTGTAAAACATAAGCAAACAAAACTATCTGGGCACTGACCAACTAATGGTAAACCCATTAAAACCCAGGGCCTGTTCATACTAGACAAACAAGCAAAGTATTTCCCAGCACATTTACCAGCTAGCCTGCCAAATTGGCTCCATCCAGCCGTTTATGTTAAAAGCAGAGGGTTTTGTTTGCACACATTTGCAAATGTATGCATAAGCCATAGTGCCCATGCCAAGGGACCTGTGTATATGTTGCGGTCCTAACCCTAAATTTCCAGAGCCTCCATAGTAGGACACATATACGAATGGATAGATTAAGGGCAGGTATGCCTAGAGGGAGCCCACCCTTCCTTAAAGGCACAGGGACACACGTGACGCCCAGCAAGAGCACAAGGGAAGAGAAGGCATGCAGTGCATCCCTGCAACCTAGTCATCCAACTGTACAAATAACTGGCAACCGCCCCAACCTATAACTGGCCTTTACAGCAAGGTGCCCATGAAAGGGCAATGCACATCATAAACAAACTAAGGATTTCCCAGCACACTTACCAACCAGCCTGGCTGGTAAGTGTACTGGAAATCCTTTGTTTGTTTGTGATGGCCTTGCCTTTTCATGTGCACCTTGCTACAAAGGCCAGGTATAGGTTGGGGGTGGTTGCCTGTTCACACTAGAGCAGTGACTGGTGTTTTTTACCACACTTGAAGAATGACAGTCACAGCAAAATAATGCCACACAGCAGTGTGGTGACATGATTGAGACTTTAATGATTCAAAAGTAGCATATGATGAAAACACTGTGATTTAATCTAAATGTGTAGACAGAAAATAATGAACACATTTTTGCTTTTCACGTCTGGATAATTTAAGTGAACCATTACTTTATTTTCAGTGACGATTTTCAACTCCTTTAGCAAATCAGCCTCATTGTAGAACAGAGAATATGTTCCTTGAAAATGTATTTGATTATTTAATGTAATGGATGGCCTCACTAAGTAATAGAATGGGTTGGGAGGTGGGAAGGGCAGGGTCAAGCTTGAATTTACACAAAAAGACAAGATTTGCCATGTATAATTGGATCTGCTTTAATGTTGAGATTTTTGAAAAAAAAAAATGTAAACTCTAATTATGCATTTTGTGTTATGAATTTTTTTTTTTATGTGCAGGTATTTTCATTATTATTATTATTATTATACAGTATTTCTATAGCGCCAATAGTTCGCTTAGCGCTGTAAATTACAATGGGAGACAATACATGAGACGGTACAATGACAATACAGTGTGATACACGAGGGGTTTGAGGGCCCTGCTCCTTGGAGCTTACAATCTAGGAGGGAGGGGATAGTGGTACAGGAGTAAAAGCTGGGGGGGGGGATGGAGTGGTGGGAAAAGAGGAGGAGATCGGCAGTTAGCAGGGGGCGGGGTAGGCTTCCCTGAAGAGGTGGGTTTTCAGGGTGCACCTAAAGGAGAGGAGAGTAGGTGATAGTCTGATGGATTGGGGGGTAGGGAGTTCCAGAGGATGTGTGATGCCCTGGAGAAATCCTGGAGGCAGGCATGTGAGGAGGAGATCAGGAGCTAGAGAGAAGGAGGTCTTGTGAGGAGCGGAGAGTGCGTTTTGGGTGGTATTTGGATATTAGGTCAGTGATGTAGTTTGGGGCGATATTATGGATAGCTTTGTACGTCAGTGTTAGCATTTTGAATTTAATCCGTTGGGCAATCGGGAGCCAGTGGAGGGATTGGCAGAGGGGGGGGGTGGCGGAAACGGAGCTGTTGGTAAGGTGGATGAGTCTGGCTGCCGTATTCAGGATCGACTGAAGCGGGAATAGCTTGCGATGAGGGAGGCCAGTGAGGAGGGAGTTGCAGTAATCGAGTCGTGATATGATGAGTGAGAGGATGAGTTGTTTAGTGGATGAGGTGTTTAGTGGTTTAGTGGTTTTCATAATTTGGGATGAGCTGAGTGTTTAGCCTGAACATAATATTAGCTGCTTGGATATGAATCCAAAATTCTAACTTTTGGGACATTTGGTGGGAATTGTTCCTGCAGAAAGTCCCATAATGCATTGCCAAAGCCACCACTGATCAAAGTCTTGCACATGACCTCTGGTCGGGTGCAAGACTTTGGCCAAAGTTTGTTTTAGAGTAAGTGCCAGGTCACCGAGGTGTGATTTCAGGAGTGATTTGCGAATTGAAATCACACCTGAAATCGCGTCTAATGAATATGAATGTCAGTGTCTTAACATGTACGATTTGCTGCAGCGCGATTTCTAAAATAGTTCTTGCATAACTTTTTCTGCAGTTTTGTTGCAATTTCACATTCAAAGAATATAATGGAAATATCACTGCAAATTGCAAGACATTGTTGAAAATCTACACAAGTAGCAATAAAGTCTTCAGAAGTCACACCTGAAA